AAAATAACAAGTGTTGATGAGGATGTAGAGAAATAGGAACACTTGTGCATTGTTGGTGGGAATGTAAAATGGTGCAGCTACCATGGAAGCTCCTCAAACTTAGTATGGTGGTGCCACAAAGTTCAAAAATGGAATTACCATATAATCCAGCCATTTTACTTCTGGATATATACCCAACGGGGCTGAAATCAGAGGGTCAAAGAGATATTTGTACATTCATAGTAACATTATTCACAAGAGCTAAAAGGTAGAAGAAAATCCAATGTCCATCAGTGGATGAACAGATAAAATGTGTTAGGTACATACAACAGAATATATTTCAGCCTTAAAAAGAAAGGAAGCTGGGCTCGGTGGCTCAGCCTGTAATCCCGCGCCTTTGGAAGGCTGAGGTGAGTGGATTGCTTGCGCCCACGGGTTCGAGACCCGCCTGGGCAGGCGAGACCTCATCTCTACAGTAAATCAAAAAAATTAGTCGGGCGTGGTAGCGCGCGCCTATAATTCCGGCTACTCGGAAGGCTGAGGTGGAAGGATCGCTGGAGCCCAGCAGGTCGAGGCTGTGGTGGCTGGGAGTGGCCACTGCACTCCAGTCTGGGCGACAGAGTGAGACTCCAACTCAAAAAAAAAAGGAAAAATTTTTTTTGACTCGGCGTCTTGCTGTGATGCCCAGGCTGAAGTGCAGTAGCACAATCATGACTCACCATACCCTTGACCTCCTCCTGGACTCAGGCGCTTCTTCCACCTCAGCTTCCTGAGTAGCTGGGACTACAGGTGTGTGCCACCACGCCCAACTATTTTTTTTGTAGAGGCAGGGTCTCGCTATGTTGCTCAGGTTGGTCTTTAACTCCTAGGCTCAAGCAATCCCCTACCTCGGCCTCCCAGAGTGCTGGGATTATATGTGTGAGCTGTCGTACCCAGCCAAAAGGAAGGAAATTTTGACATACACTACAACATAGATGAACCTTGAAGACATTATTCTATGTAAAATAAGCAAGTCATAAGTAGACATGTATGAGTCTACTCATATGAGTTACCTAGAGTGGCCAAATCTGTAGAGACATAAGGTAGAATAGTGATTGCCAGCGTTTGTGGGGAGAGGCTAGTGGAAAGTTGTTTAATGGGTACAGTTTCAGTTTTGGAGATTTTTTGGTACAACAATGTGATTGTACTTAACAATATTGAATTATACACCTAAAATGCACCATTTTACATTCCCACCAAAAGTTTGCAAGGGTTCCAATTTTTCTTCATCCTCATCCACACTTGTTATTTTCTATATATTTTAATAGTAGCAATCCTAATGACTATGAGGTGGTATCTCATGGGGGCTTTGATTTACATTTCCTGTATGATTAGTGATTATCTTTTCATGTGCTTACTGGCCATTTGTATACCTTCTTTGGAGAAAAGTCTATTTAATTTCAAAATATTTTGGTGAATTCCCCCTGGATAAATTAGTGTAGCATGAAATAATAAAGTAATCTCGCTTTTGAGGAAACTATTTGGGGAACCACACCACAAAAACTAAATTAATTAGACACTGCAGCAGAGAGAATGAAACTTAGACTTCTGCCACTGAGGTTGCTGAGATGTGGTATCATCTTTCCTTCCCTTGGCTGCTTAGAGATAAGGGGGAATGAAGGGAAAGTATCTGGGATGTAAAAGCCTACAGAATATAGGCACAGAAGACCCATCTAAATCATCCAAGCAGGCACTCACTGTGTACTAGTGCAGAACGAGTGTCCAGAGAGCTGAGAGCCATGCACGCCCATTTCTGTTATGGGCAAGTGCTAGATGCAGAAGCATACCAACATTATTATATAAGTAGTCAAGGATGTAAGGCTGGGGCCACCAAATCCTTCATGCTCCTCATTAGAATGTGGATAGGTGGCTCAGCCTGTAATCCTGCGCCTTTGGGAGGCGCAGTGGATTGTCTGAGCCTGTGGGTTCGAGACCCACCCAGGCAACTTGGTGAGACCTCATCTCTACGGTAAATCAAAAAATCAGCCGGGCGTGGTAGCACATGCCTGTAATTCCGGCTACTCGGAAAGCTGATGTGGAAGGATCGCCGGAACCCAGCAGGTTGAGGCTGCGGTGGCCGGGAGCAGCCACTGCACTCCAGTCTGGGTGACAGAGTGAGACTCCAACTCAAAAAAAAAAAAAAAAAAAGAAAAAGAATGTGGATAGGACCCGAACCTCCCAACATTAAAACCAGTACCTTAAGGCCCTCTGACAACAAAAATACAATCAGGAGGCACTGTGCCACTCAGGGCAGTTGGGACGGATTGATAGTCAGACAAGCAGGGAGTAGGACCCAAGGAAAAAAAATTTCTTTGGGAGCTGCGGCTAAATTATTCTAGAACAAGGATTGCTGGCTGAGGATAAATTATCTTGGGGAATAGGAGGAGGCATTGCAGCTTGGGGGCTGGAGAAGAGGAACCCTCAGAAAGGAAGGGAATCAACACCAGTGGAAAGACCAAGGGGAACAACAGCACCATCCATGTGCTGCAACAGAGTTGGTTCATTATGGGGGGTGTAGAAGCCTTTTTTAGCATATGAAATTCGGGGAAGCTGCTGTCTTTCCAAATCCCTACTCATAGATCCTCCCCAGATTTCAGAGGAGTGTGCAGAGATCTTCTCAGATGTGGCAGAAAGTAGATTAAACAGTAAAGATCACAGAGAGAAAGAGACCACGAAAGAGTAAGAGTCCTTTCTGGAGTAGCAGTAACTTTCTGGCTCTAGTCTTGTACAATGACCCAAATTAAATGTGACCTTTGAAGAGCAACAGACAGGCGTTTGGAAGCCTCTGCAGTTAGCTCTAAATCCTAGGTATAAGGAATTAGCACTGTGGCACAGACCTTCATGATACAAAGGGAAATAAATGCTCCACCAAGATGCCTTAAAAAAATACATACATACATACATATACATATATATGTGTGTATGTGTGTGTGTGTGTGTGTGTGTGTGTGTGTGTATACATATATATGAATGATCATTTTCTTGAGCTACAATTTAGTGAAAGATGTGACAATTTTTTTCCTAATTTGTAGAACTGAAAATCAGCATCAGAAATATACTGCATATTATTTATACATTATCTGTTCATGTTTAAGCTAACTATTTTGCAAGCTACATTTAGTTATTACATTAAGCACACCCATGTGTCCACAATTTGTTGTTTTTAAGTGTTTTAAGTTAAATAATTACTGTAGGTGTAATTTTAACGAATTTGTAAGTCAGAGAGACCCAACTGATGATTGTGAGATGTTGATAGAATGGACAAAATAAATAACGTATGCCCTCTATAGACTGTAGTCTTTTCAATCTGTGCATTCCACACATGACATATGTTTTCCTTAAATGAATACCTAACTTGCACGAAAATAATTTTCTTCTGTAAGTAAATACCACCTTTCCCTCTACCTCATCCTCCCTCCAGAGCCTTGTTACTGTCAGGAAACTGGATTTACTGATACAAAGCAAAGAGACCGCTATCATCATTAAAAATAATACCAAGCTCTATTCCCTCTTACTAGTGCAGTAAGACATGAAACTAAAAAGTGGAAACAAAACTCAACAGGAGGAGAAAAATAATACGTTATAGTAGATAACAAAGTATCTTACCTCAAAAACTAAAAAGAATCAACTAAAAAGTACCTGAAATAAATAAGGTCAAGAAAATGTCCAATCTAAGATAATCATCCAAAACTTCATTGCTTTCCTAATATATCAGCAATAATCAGCTTATATAATGAAAGAATTATATTATAAATAAACAAGAAATTCATCAAAACTATAGGAAAAAGTTTTAAAGTTAAAAAATAAGCTGGGCTCGGTGGCTCAGCCTGTAATCCCGCGCCTTTGGGAGGCTGAGGTGAGAGGATTTCCTGAGCCCGCGGGGTCGAGACCCGCCTGGGCAGCGAGACCTCATCTCTACAAT